GAGCCTCCAGGGATTTTGGGATCCATGGGGGAACCTGGAACCAAACCCCAGGGGATACTAAGGGCCCACTATATGTTTTTAGTGCAGCCCCCTCCCACTTTTCAGTGATTCACTTTTCGGCAATCTGCTCTTTCAGGCTCTGCCGGTGTGCAGCAATAGCAATAGCAATAGCATTTACATTTCTATAGCACTTATCAGTGAACTCAGCACTCTCTAAGCAGTTTACAATCTGTAAGCCAATTGCCCCCAACAAGCTGGGAACTCATTTTACTGACCTATGAAAGGTGGAAGACGCTCCCTCAGAGAGTGGTGGGGCCTCCTTCTTTGGAGGTTTTCAAACAGAAGCTGGATGGCCATCTGTTGGGGGGTGCTTTGATTGTGTCTTTCTGCATGGCAGAATGGGGTTGGACTGGATGACCCTTGGGGTCTCTTCCAACTCTCGGATTCTATGATTGTATATTATACCCCTAAGCTCGCTGACAACAAGGAAACGATCATGTCGGAAGGGCTGCACTGATTTCAAGGTGGTCTCTGGGGGAAAAATTATCATTGCAAGCTTGAAACAGAATTCCAAGCTGCACAATGAACAAAAAGGTGAATTGTGGGGGCATGAAGTCCAACTTGCACTTTTATAGTTCACCCATAGGATTCTGTCCATAGTTTCCTTTTTGTTTTCCCTCTGGAAATAGGAGATTTCTGATGCTTAGGAATCTGAGCTCTGGGTTCCAATGGGACTGAATAAATAGAAGGGGGTTATGCCAATGCGCTGCCTGCCCAGATGCTCTCTGCTCTCTGGGTTTTTAGGAATCTCTCTCCCAATCTCCAGCTGCCATGGCTGTAATTCTGCCTGATGAAGATCGCAGGCCGTTGTTTGCCTATGCTAATTAGCAATTAATTAGATCTCACGACACACACCCCCGGTGAAAGGGGGGGTCTCACCCCCAGCGCTAGCAGAGCACCCCTTGCTTTGCAAAACAAGCCCAGAACAAGAAGAGGAACAGGCAGCGTGGCACCGAAGGCGCACAGGATGAAAGACGAGGGTAGGGAAACAGATGCCGCTTTTTCAGAAGCTCAGGAAATGGATGTCGCAGCACAACAGCAACAATCGGCGAGAAAGGAACAAAATGTTTCAGCGTGGCACGCTTTCGTGCCAGCCTGCCAGCCAAGCTTCCATATCCACATGGGGTTTCAAGTCTAGAGAGTCTAAAATGAGCCATCCATGGTGCTGAAAGTATTTAAGGCTCAAGTTCAACACCATGGACAGTTCCTTCAAATCAAACCCAGGGTGTATTCGCCTTTCCATTTTAAAATGTCTTCTCTGCTTTGTGTGCCCTTCCTTTCTCCATGTTGAGACAGATAACAGCCATCTCATCCAACTGCCTGTTATGTGTGCGGGTGTGTGTTGTGTGTTGTGTGCCTTCAAGTCATTTCTGACTTATGGCAACCTTAGGGTGAACCCCTCATGGGTTTTTCTTGGCAAGTTTCTTCAGAGGGGGTTTGCCATTGCTTCCCACCCAAGGTTACCCAGTGGTTTACATGGCCAAGCCAGGATTCGAACCCTGATCTCTGGAGTTGTAGTCCAATGCTCAAACCACACCACCATGCTGGCTCCTGTCCGACCTCCTAGCATGAAAGAATGCATAATTAAAGCACTACCGAAAGATACATCTGTGTAAAGACCTCCAAAGAAAAAGAATCTACTGTCTGACAAGACAGTCAATAGCTCTTACAGTCAAGAAGTCTTTCCTAATGTTTAGGTGGAATTGCTTTTCTTGTAATTGGAATCCATTGGTTCATGTTCTGACCTCTGGAGCAGCAGGAAACAAGCTTGCTCCATGTTCGACATGACACTCTTTCAGATATTTAAAAATAATGATCATGCCATCCTCTCAACCTTCTCTTCTCTAAGCTAAACATACCCAACTCCTTAAGCCAGTGATTCTCAAATTTTGGGCTGACTGGTGTTTTGGACTTCAACTCCCAGAAGCCCCAGCCAACTTGGCTGGCAGTCAGGAATTCTGGGAGCTGAAGTCCAAAACATCTGGAAGGGCAAAGTTTAGGACTCACTGCCTTAAGCCATTCCTCATGAGCCTTGGTTTCCAGACCTTTGGTCATTTTGTACCACTCTATTCTGCTTTGGTCAGATCTCATGGAATACTCTATTTAGTTCTGGCTAATATATATAGAGAGAGAGTTATAGGCTTTATTCCCAGGTAAGTGTGCCTATATATATTATATATATGGGGGGGGCTTATTTCTGATAAGATATGATCACACTGTCAGGCTATAATCCTCTATCTACTTACCTGGATTCAGGTCCCATTAATTTCAACCAAATGCATTTCTGAGTAGAGATGCATAAAATTCCACTTTTTGTTATCAGGACACAGGGAAGCTGTGCAGGTTGAGTCTCCCTTATTTGAAATGCTTGGGACCAGATTTGTTTTGGATTTCAGAATTTTTTCAGATTTTGGAATATTTGCATGTACATCATGAGATATCTTGGCGATGGGACCCAAGTCTAAACATCGAAATTCATTTATGTTTCGTGTACACCTTATACACAGAGCCTGAAAGTAATTTTATGCACAATGTTTTTAATAGTTGTATGCATGAAACAAAGTTTGTAGAGACTGAAACATCAGAAAGCAAAAGCATCACTCTCTCAGCCACCCAGGTGGACAATTTTGGATTTTGGAATATTTCAGATTTCAGAATCCCAGATAAGGGAGACTCAACTCGCATTCCTTTTTAAAAAGAACACATCTGGAGGTGAATTTCAGAAATACCAAAGATGAGATATATGAAATCTCTCTCTCCCACTCTCTTTCGGACCCTGTGTGCATGTGTGTGTATGTGAGTGTGTTTGTGTGTGTATGTGTGTATATGTTGTATATGTCAAGATATGAAAAACTTAATAAGAGTTTCAGTTCAAGAACCGTGAACTTTGCTCATGGATTAATGAGGGACGTGCCATTTGAAATTATATTTTTTTGTGAAGTTACATTGGGATCGAACAGGATGAACCTGTATTTTAGGCTTTACTTTTGGGGAAGGGGGGGAAACCAGATAGTTTTAGTAGTGGTATTTTTTTTTTTTTTTTTTTTTTTGAAGAAAGAGAAGTTATGTTTCCCATGAAATTGCAATCAAAGTTGTATGAAGCCATGACTAGTATAGCAGTGATGGTCACTGAATCATAGAGTTGGAAGGGACCCCAAGGGTCATCCAATCCAACCCCAATCTGCCATGCAGGAAGACATCATCAAAGCACTCCTGACAGGTTTTAAAGGTTTTTGAAGATTTTAAAAAAGGTTTTTAAACAGTGGCTGGATGACCATCCATTGGGAGTGCTCTGATGAAGTGTTCCTGCATGGCAGAATGGAGTTGGACTGGATTGCCTTTGGGGGTCTCTTCCAACTGTAGGATTTTATGATTTTATGTTTCATACAGCTATGTGCATGGGCAAGAGGGAGAACTCCTGTATCTGTGCAAAACTAACCTCATTGTGAAGCCAAAGACACAAACAACTTGTGCAATGTGAATTTGTCCATTAGCTCAAGTAACAGAGCGACAGCCCTTGCATTTTTCAGTACTGCACATTTTACAGAAATGCGTTACAATGAGCATATGTAATTTTCCTCGGAGACCAACCTCCCTGAAAAAAAGACTACCATCTCATGGTGACCCATGGCTGGAAGAAATTTTTAGGTTTCTCATTGATCACTTCAGGATAGATCAAGGCGGCATTTGCATCCCTCGCAGAAAGCCATGACGTCTTCCTCCTTCGTGTGGCATCTTCCACTTTTGCAAAGTCTCAGAGCCAAACTTTGCCTCTTCCAGATCTCGACAGGCTGTAATTAATCCTTGGCTTTGTTTTAAGTGATATTTATTGGTGGGTAGAAAATAAGTCTTTCTCCATGCGTACATTCTCTTATCCACATTACACAAACATACATTTCCCTCTCGCCGCCCAATTACATCTTTGCACAACACACACTGCCAAGGGGAAACTTTGCTGTGCGTTCCTTATCACCAAGAAAGCAGCTTTGCCTTCATTGATTTCCTCTTTTTAAATTTCTTTCTTTCTTCTCCTTTTTTTCCCTTTTCTTTCTTTGCAATGGACAGAAGTGTAGAAGAGCCTCCTTAGACTGACAACCTGAAATCAAACCACGTTAGATGTGAAGAGCTGATCTGGACAGCTGTGTTGGAGATATTTGATCTTTGCAATTTCTAGTCGGAATTGATGTGACCCATACAGTCTTGGACTAAGAGAGAGATGGGATGCGTAGTACGGATATCATTCTTCACTACATGTCCTCTCAAAGGAAGCCAGGAGTCATCTGCGCAATTTTCTTTCCCGTAGTGAGAACGTCTTTGAAACAAATGCACTTTCCTGAAGCTGATTTGGAAATAGGGGTTTATTTTCTGAAAGATTCACACACTGTTGTTTTGTGCATTTTTTGCACAGAGTATTCCTGCATAGAAATGTTATTTTCTGCAGGGAAAATGCTGTTTCTTGTTCAGAATTGACTATTTTCTGTACTAAAGAACCAGAGGTGCTCCTGGTCAGTCAAAAGACTGATCTGGGAATAGGGATCCAGCCTGTGTTAGATGGCGTTTGAAAACATAGATTCTCAGTGTGGGGGTTGTGATAAATGGGGGTCCATTTATCAGAGCCTTCTCCCCAGATAACAAAGGAATAATGTGGGAGGAATTACAGTTACATTTTAATGGAGCTCTGCATCACAGGTGATGAGATATAGACAGAAAGTACAAGTTGCAGAGCCAAATCAGTTCAGCCAAACCAGGAAAAGAAATCAAAATGTCCTAATGCCACTGACTGGTACATTTTCCTAATCTTACTCACAGATCAGGTGGGATCTGTCCAATGGGATGGGCAGTTGGGGAGAAGTGTGAACTTTCAAGACAGTTCTGAAAGGGTTTTTAAAAAGCCTGGAAACAACCTGAGCCTTTGGGTCTGTCTGCCTTTGTCTCTGGCTCTCACTAGGCAGACCATAAGGAGCTTCTAACTAGCAGCTCTGCAACTGGGAGGCTAGTGGAGCCAGATAATGGGATCCAGGCTCCCAGCTATCCAGAAACATCAAGGACTACAAATCCCATTTGATCTATAAGTAAAATTAGGAAAATGCACTGTCATACAGCTTGTACCATCAGGAAGTTCTTCCTAATGTTGAGGTGGAACCTCTTCCTGTAGCTTGAATCCATTGCCCAATGTCTGAATCTCTAGAGCAGGGGTCGGCAAACGCCGTGGTGGGGGCCGAACCCGGCCCCTTGAGGCCTTTGAACCATCCCGTGGCTGGTCCTGCCGCCGTTGCTGTTGGCGCCGGCGTGTGTGCGCCTCCACTGCTGCCTTTCTAGCGCGCGCACGATGCGGGGCACCATTTTGTGTTCCAAAATAGCACCTGCACTCACACACGCATGCGCACAATGGTGGACGCCACTTTGAAACGCAAAATGGAGCTGGCATCATGCACTCATGATGTGTGACGCTGTTTTGCATTCCAAAATGGCACCCGGCGTCATGTGCATGCGTGTGCGAGCGTGGGTGCCATTTTGGAAGACAAAATCGTACTCCGCACTCACGCATGCATGTGCACAACGCTGGGAGTAGTGTGCGTGCACGTGCATGTACACGCATGCGCGCGTGCACCTCCGGCACCATTTCCCCTCCCTTTTGGCCCGCCGACGATCTGGGGGACAGCGGAACCAGCCCCCCCAAAAAAGGTATGCCAACCCCTGCTCTAGAACAACAGAAAACAAGCTTGTTCCTTCTTCCACATGACAATCTTTCATATCTGTTTGGGTGAGCTTCCCCGTACAAACATGCTTTCGGGAAAGAGTAAAGGCTCTGCAAAACCTATTAAGCAAAGCAAGCAAAGCATTTATATACCGCTTCATATAGTGCTATGGGATGTCTAAGCGGTTTACAACTGTAAGCTCATTGCCCCCCAACAGCTGGGTACTCATTTTAGCGACCTCGGAAGAATGCAGGCCTGAGTCTAGCCTGAGCCCTGGCTAGTATTGAACTCGCAACCTTGTGGTCTATGAGTGAGTGGCTGCAGTACAGCCTCTACTCTGACACAGTTTGGACTAAAACCCAGAGCAGACTCAACACCCCTTATGCCATGGCAGCCACCGCCTTCCATTGCTCTTAGTGCCTCTGAGAGACTTCAGCTCTCAAAGCTGGCTTGAAAGGATGTTCTGCGGCCTGACAGGTTTGTAGTCTTAATTTTTCTAAATCTCTCCTCTTATTTTTCTTTCCTTTTCATCTTTGGTTCCCCTCCCCTTTCTCTTTAATCTGATTGGAGATAATGACCCAGCGGCCTGGAGTCTCTTTGCTACTCAAGTCTCGGCTATTCACCTCCTCGCAGATCGCCAGCCTGATAGGAGGCAGTCATTTGGTGGCTGAGCTCTTCCCGAAATGGAGCAGATACGCAAATAAATAAATAAATAACCCTGATCCTATTATCTCCTACCCGTGTGCACTTGGCGCACTTTGGAGAGACACCGCTTGGCGTGACAAGCAATCCAAAAGACGTGCTAATAAAGCCAAGCTTGGCCTTGATAAGGATGGGGCGGGGAAGTCAT